AGGGGAGTATATATGTGTGGGTGGGGAGGGCTATGTGGGAACTCTGTATTTTTCTGCTCAATTCGGCTGTGAACCTCAAATTGCTCTAAAACTTAAGTCTATTAAAAAAAAAGAAATTACTCAGTCTGAACCACAGGGAGCACATATTCTGGAAAAGAATATGAACAGAGACTCAAAGATCTCATATACCTGGGACCCGAGTCTTAGAAGCAGAGGGGAAAGAGGACAAGACTGGGGGACTACTCAAGAAATAATGGCTGAAATTTCCCAAAACTTGGCAAAACTCATAAATCTATGCATTCTGTGCATCCATGAAACCCAGGGAAGCCCAACCAAACAGGATGAGCCCAGTGAAATGCACACCAAGACGCATCACAGTCCAAGAAAAGAGGAAGAGGTTCCTTGAATGCAGCGAGACAGAAATGCCACCTCGCTGTGGAGAGAACCCCCACTCCAGTGACAATGGATTCATCCGGAACCGGAACGTGGAGGCAGGAAGTAACCTTTCAAGTGCTGAGAGAGGTGCAGTCGCCCCCGGTTCTACAGGTGGTGAGAGCGTCCCTCAGGAACGAAGGGGAAGTAGACCCACTCTCGGGGGAAGGAAAACTGAGAGGACTGACCTCAAGCAGACCTCCCCCAGATGAACGGCCAGAGAGGAAATGATGAAGGGACGGCTCTTGCAACATCAGGAAGCAAGAAAGGAGAACGGGAAAACCAAAGCGGGGACCCGAGGACAGCGCAGAGGACAGAACGTCCACACGGCCCACTTATGTTTCCTCCAGGAGCACTTGCCTCACAACCACTTTCAAATGTTGAGGCAGCCAAAACCAACTCAGCCGCGTTGTCATCCAGTGATGTTTGCATCTTTTGTTAACTTACTAACATTTTAAGAAACAGGGATACATCAAAGTTTCGCTTTAACTCCCGGAGCTGGCTTGCTCAGTGATGGGAGATGTTTGAATTCCATGCAGGATAAAGAAGCTGTGGGACACTCGGGGCAGTCGAGACACACCCGGAAGAGCCATGCCTTCGCAGTAAGGCCAGACTAACTCCACAATGTGCCCAAACACGGAATTTTTTTTTAAGACTTGAAAAGATATGCTGAACCATAAAGTCACATAGTCAACTTCCAAAACATAGTCACACGGTCTTTAAAGAAAGGAAGCAGAATCTGTATACTCAACAGTACAACTTTCACGTGGCCTGCCTAGGAAATCAGAAACAACTCTGCATTCGGGGGCAAGAGCAGAGCTGGGTGTTGCCCTCCAGACCTGAGGGAGGCAGTGGCGGGGGGCCCAGTGCACCCGCCTAACACCGCAGCCTGGCTCCGGCCACAACCAGGCGTCAGGGGTGGCTGACGGGTGACCGCCATGACTTCACCAAGTGCCAGCCCTGTCGTGGCTGCTGCGCTGCGTGGGCAGTTCTGCGGGAACAGAATCACTCAGCTTCCGATCACTCTTACATGGCCGTGGATCTGGTGACTGAGAAGCAGTTTTTCTCCACCTGGGACGGACTGTGAGGCCTGTTCACACTCCGCCCAGAGACAAGTTAACTCTCCCTCCTTCACAGCATCGGCCAGGTGGGACCCTCCGCATCTTGACCACGGGCGGGACACCACGTTTGTCCACGACACTGATGGCATCTCATTCACTGGACCTGAGGGGTGGAGGGTGCCCAGCGCTCTGTTGCTCTGGTGTATAGTCCATAAGGTGAGATTTTAAAAAATAGTTTGTCGTCGATGGTGGTGGTGTTTTGTGTGTGCATGTGTTTTGGGAATGGTAATTAAGTTTATTTATTTATTATTTATTTATCTATTTATTAAATGGCGGTCGTGGGGATTGAACCCAGGACCTTGTGCATGCTAAGTACACACTCTACCACTGAGCTATGCCCTCCCCTCCAGACATTTTTTTTAAAGAAAAGAGAAATTCAGAGATGCAGAGCCTGCCAGAGCAGTGAACTTTACAGAGGTCCTGTTCCCTGAGGCCCGCCCAGGCGCACCCTGTGTAGTAAGGCAGCTGCCACCACCCCTACAACACCCACCACGAAGAAAGAGGCCCACGTCCAGGTACGCACCCTTGGGTCATGGAAGCGGCACGTACCCTGCCTGAGAATGCGGGTGGCCGCTCCGGGGACCGAGAAGCTTGCGGGTCTGAGGGCAGCCCGCGGGAGGACGGGGCTCTGCAGCAGCTTGGGGCTGCAGCCCGAGGACCCCGCGGCCACAGCGGCGCAATCCGCCAGATCCCGTGGTGCCACGAGTGTCTGCGTGTGCCTGGAGGCTGTGCCAATCCTCTGCCGAGCCCCAGGGGCAGAGTCTGTGGGTTCATGTCCTCACACCCACCACCTGCAACAGAGAGCTGGATGCCACTTAAAAATTGCTCCTGACAGGCCCCTGGTCCCCAATGAGACACTGAATGACTCACAGAGACATCGTGTCCGAGCAACTGGAACTTTCCGGGATGAGCTAGCTGGGTGTTGTCATTCCCACTGCTGGATGAGTGTGGCAAGCCGGGGGCCAGGGACAGATGCAGAAGACAAGGTGAGTCGCACAAAGACAGCCCCTCCGGACCTGGCCCTGTCACAGGGACACCTCTCCCTCTACAGCTTGCTGGCCTGGATCGTGCCTGGGCAGTGCCAGGTCTGGGAGCAGTGCTGCTCCACAGCCCTACACGGGGGCCTCTGAAAGATACTGAGGAGAGAAAACGCGTTCGGGGGGCAGACGTCTGGGTGATGACAAGCTAATGCTGTTTTGTGTGTGGAAAGAAAACAGGTTAGATGTGAAGATGTACACGGCCCCGGAGACGGCACAGATGCCCTGCCGAGACGGTCAGGGGACTAGAAGGAGCAGAACTGACTGGGAGGAAACAGGCCATCAGGGAGGAGAAGTGTGTATGACTGGGGGCAACGCACCTGGGTCTGTGAATGAGATGATAACGTCCCCTGCAGAGCCCCACTGCAGACAAGGTCCTTAGTAACCAAGGGGACAGGACGGCTCCTCCAGTGCACATCAGCCAGCCTCTGCCCTCCGTGTTCACATGGGCCTCTGAAGGATGGCCGTGGTGGCTGAGACGCAGGCTGGTCACACGCCTGGAATCACGGCCTGACCACCTTTCACTGAGTGACCCCACCAGACTCCGCAGGAGGCCCACCGTGTCAGCCGTGGAAATGCACACTGAGTCCTTAATGTTGTGTCATTCCTCCTGGAAGCAGATCAGACATGTGGTTGTGGGTGGATTTCGTCCCTGGTGGGTGCCGCGGGCACTGACTGGGCCCGACCAGCACGTGCCTGTGTGCATACCGAGGCACAGGATGCACCCCCATTAAGTGTGCAGTTTGATCAGCTTTGGCCAGTGTAGAGATGCATGTAGCAACTGTCACACAGTCAGCATGTAAAAAACTGCCATCACTCCTGAAGCTCCAGGGTGACCCTGTAGTCAGCCTCTCGTGCTTACTGCTCATTTATGTATCTCCTCTTGATAAATGTCTGTTCAAATTGTTTTGTTTGTGTGGGAAGGTTTTATTATTATTTATTTGTAGGAGTCCTTACTTATCCCACACACAAACGCTTTATCCCGCACACATACTATATGTATACAAAACCCATTTCTCCTCTTGTGGAGGCTTGTTTCTTCCGTTACATAACACCGCCTTTTGAAGAGCAAGTTTTTAATTTCGTAAATCCAACGAGTCTTTTTTGGTTATTGTTTGGCCTTTTTGTAACTTTCTTGAGAAACGTGTGTCTAATCCAAGGTTGTTAAGACTTTCTTTCATGTTTTCTTTGAGGTGCTTCATGGTTTTGACTGTTGCAGTTGGATCTATGGTCCGTTTCACGTGACTCATTCCGTCTGGTGTGAGGTAGTGAAGGTGAATTTTTCTCCAAATAGATATCCAGTTCTTCCAGAAACACTTGTTGAGAAGATTATCTTTTTCTCAAGGAAGTACTGTCCCTTTGTTACAAGTCGGTTGATCATGTATGTGTGTGTTTACCTCTGAGATCCCTATTATTTATTTTCTGCCTACTTATCCGTATGCAAATGCCACAGTGTCCATTACCTTTGTTCCTTCCATAGAAAAGTATGGAGTAAGACATCCAAGTTTAGTCCTCCTCTAAATTGTTGCGCTGTTTTTGCTCTTTTGTATTTCCATATACATTTTAGCATCAGCTTGTCAATTGCTACAAAAGCTAGTTCAGATTTTGATTGGCGTTTCCTTGAATGCGGGTCGATTTAGAGAGAGCTGATAACAATATTGAGTCTTTCAATCAATGAATGTGGTGTATCTCTTTTGTTTTGTTCTGTAACTTCTCTTAGCTAAGTGTTACAGTTTCCAGCCTTCAGATCTTACACGTACATACTTACATTTATCCCTACATGTTTATGGGTTTCGGTACTATCATAAATAGTATTGTTTTAATTTTTAATTGCCAGTTGTTCCTTGTTAATCTGTAGAATAAAATCAATTGGTTTTTGAATACTGATCTTTTATCTTGAGACCCTGCTCCTTCACCTACCAGTTGTAGAAGCTCCTTTGTAGATTTCCTCCACACAGGAGCACGTGGACTGGGAATAGAGACAGCTCCTCTCCTTCCATTTCAGTCTGTGTGCCTCGGCTTCCTTCCACTCGTCTCACCGTGGTGGCCACTTCTGAACAGAAGTTGCGAGAGCACCACGGTCTTGTTCCCAGTCACAGAGGGAAAGTGTTCAGTATGACGCTAGTGAAACGCAGACCCTAGGGGCTCTCTAATTAAGGACACTCCTTTCTGCTCCGACACAGCTGGGCATTTTAGCTCATCAGATCTTTGTGCGCATATACTTACAGAATGATGTGGGTTTTCTTTGTTAAGTCTGTTAAGATGGTGGATTAATCTTACTGGTTTTCACATGTTGAGCCAGGCTGGCATCCGAGGATAAACCGTACTTGCTTGTGACGTGTTATCCTCTTCAGATATGGTTGGCTTTTGTTGACCAATATCGTGGTGAGGTTTTTTGCATCAATGTTCCTGAGGGATATTGGTCCGTAGCTCTGTTACCTTGTACTGCCTTCGTCTGATTTGAGTTTGGAGTAATGCTCACCTCATACAACTGCTGCAAAGTGTTTCCTCCTCTTCTATTTTCTGGAAGCGATTGTGTGAAATTGTATTATTTCTTCCCATAAATGTTTAGTAGTATACGCCAGTGAGGCCACTGTGGCCAGGCGTTTTCTCTGTTGGAAAGCTGTTTTAACTACAAATTCAACGCCTTTAATATTTTTAAAGAATATTCAGATCACTTCCTAAGTGAGTTTTGGTGGTCTCTCAAGAGTTGCTCCATTCGAGTCGTCAAAATTATGGTGCAGAATTGTTTGTAATATTCCCTTATTATCCTATTAATGTCTGCGGGGTTTGTAGTGATGTCCTTTCATTCATTCCAAAAATTGGCAAATTGTGTCTTCTCTTTTTTCCAGGATTACTATGCCTAGAGGTTTGTCAATTTTATTGGCCTTTTTAAAACAGTCAGCTCTGGGTTTCCATTGTGTTTCTGTCTTCTGCCTTCAGGGTCACAGGTGTCTGCACTTTATTATGCTTGCTTTGAGATGAGTTTGTGCTTCTTTTTCTTGGGTATTAAAATGGAAACTTTGGTTAGTGGTTAGAAACCACTTTTTTTTTTAATACGAGCAGTTGCTGGCCTTACTTTCCTTCTAAACACTGTTTGAGCTGCATCCCACAAGGTTAGTGTGCTGCATTTTCATTTTCATTCGGTTCTAAATATTTTCCCATTTTTTTTGAGTTCCTCTTTGCCCCGTGGATTATTTAGAAGCGTGGTTTTAGTTCTCAAATAGTTGAAGATTTTCTAGATGTCTTCCCAGTAATAGCTTTTAACTTCAATTCCATTAGGGCCAGAAAAGAAATGATATGTGATACTGATTAAACTTGTTAAGCTTTGTTTTATACCCAAGGATAAAGACCGTCTTGGCCAATATTCCATGTACGCTTAGAGAAAGCGTATTTTACTGTTGGTAAGTGTTCTCTGTGTGCCAGCAGGTCGGGCTGGTTGATGGCACCGTCACGGCTCTCGACACCCTTGCTGATCGGCCATCTCTTTGCTCTATGAACCACCAAGAGGGGTCTTAAAGCCCCTGACTGCAACTGTCGGTTTATCCGTCTGTCCTTTCATTCCTGTCAGTTTTTGCTTTATGTGTTTGAAGCCCGGCGGTCTTGCGCGCACACATTTAGGATAACGTCCTCTTGATGAATCGACCTTGGTATCTTTATGTAGTGTTTCTTTATCCCTGGTAACCTCCTCGTTCAGAAGTCTCTGGTATAGTTTTCTGCTCTGTCTTGCACCGTATAGCCACCGCGGAAGACAGTGCTGCTTCCCCCTGTTCCCAAAGACGTCCAACCTCCAGTCCCTGGTACCTGTGGATATGACCCCTTACATGGCGAAAGGTGATTGCCAGAGGTGACTAAATGAAGTATCTTGAGATGGGAACATTATGCCAGCTAATTTGGGCGAGCCCAGTGTATTCACAAGGCTTCTTGTAAGGAAGGCAAAAGGGTCCGAGTCAGAGGTAGGTAATGTGCTGACGGAGGCTGGAGAGATGGAAGGAAGGGGCTGCGAGACAAGTCCTGCAGGGACTCTGGAAGCTGGAAAAGGCAGGGAGACAGATGATCCTGGCAGAGAAACTAAGAGCAGCCAGCCCTGCTGACACCTTGACGTTAGCCCAGGGAGGCTGACTTTGTACTTGTGACCTCCAGAACAGGAAGACAGCAAATCTGTGTTGTTTAAAGGCCCTAAGTTCATGGCAATTAGTTACAGCAGCAACAGGAAACCGACGCAACCACAAAAGCTTTCTTTTGATTAATGTTTGCATAATACATTCTTTCATCCTTTTACTTTTATCCTTTTTTTAAACTTTTTTTTTACTTGAGTTATAGTCTTTTTATAATGCTGTGTCAAATTGACATCACTGTATTACAGCGATCCTCGTGTGGACTGCGGAGTTGGGTCCTGTCAATCCAGTCTTACAATCTCTGCCATTTAATTGAGCTTTCACCATTCATACTTAATGTAATTACTGGCAAGGCTGTATTTAGGTTTGCCCTTTTACTATTTCTCTTTCATGCCCCCTGTTGCTTGCTCTTCCAGTTTTGCTTCCATGCCTTATTTTGGCTTTTTGGAGTATTTTTTAGTATTCCATTTCATCTACTGGTGCTGTAACTTTTTGTGTGTTATTTTTTAAGTGGCTGCTGCAGGCATTACAATATACACACCTAATTTCACAGAGTTAATATTTTGCCTCTTCCAGACAAACGTGGAAACCTCATCACCATGCAGGTCCTTTCACCCTCCTCTCCCCGCGCTTCACGTTGTGGCTGTTGTATGCATTCCACTTACACACTTAAAAACCCCACCAGACATTGTTAGTTTTGCTTTCAACAGCCATGCATCCTTTAAAGAGGTTAAGAGGTCAAAAATGTGCTACTTTGTTGACCTAGGTATCGGCCACTTTTTACTGCCTTTATTGTTGAGTTTCCAAGTTTCCCTCTAGAATTATTTCCTTTCTGCCTGAAGAACGTACCTCACCATTTCTTTTAGAGCAGGTCTGCAGGCAACAAATTCTCTGTATTCCTTCCTCTAAGAATGATTATTTTGCTTTCGTTTCTGAATAATACGTCCAGAAGAGTTCCAGGTTGGCTCTTCTTGTCTCTCAGAACTACAAATCTCCCAAGCACAGCGGTCTCTGACGTGAAATCTGTGCTTACTCAAATTGTTTTTCCTCTGTATGTAACGTGGCACTTTTCTCTGGATGTTTTCAGTTTTTTCCCTGTGGTTTGATTATGATGGTGATGTGTGTGAGCATGTTTTAAAGCTTATCCTATTTTTCATTTGCTGAGCATGTTGGACGTGTAATTTTATGACTTTCAACAAATCTGTAAAATGGTCAGCTATTTATTTCCCCCCAAAATTTTTTTCTTCATTGATACTCTCCTTTTGCTGGGAGATAAATAACATAAGTTGTCTCACAGAGCCTGTGTTCATTTTTTAAAATCTTTTTCCCCTCCAGCCTGTGCTCTCACACAATACCTGGACAAAGAACTCAGTATGAGACGAGAGTCCTGCCCAGGGGTAGGAAGGGGCACTGAGAAAGCAGAAATAGCTCAGAGGTTTTGAAGAAGGGCGACGAAAAAAGATGAATTATAGAAGCAAGGAAGTCAGTGAAAGGAAGTGCTCGGGGGAAGAAACGCTGCAGCCCGGGGCCAGGGGCAGGGCTGCCCGCTCCTCCCGGATGGGCGTCAGTCTGCCAGGCCCCCCGCCCCCTCTCCTGGGGCCGTCCTCCTGTGACGGCCCGTTGGCTGCTCCAGGCAAGCACGGCAGAGAGGGGCAGCGCCTTCAGTTCCTCCCTCTCCTGCACTTCACATCCAAACACCAAACCCACACACTGTGCCCGGTGAACCCCCTGGGTTTTTTTTTGAGTAAAGGTAGATGTTTATTTAGAGAGATACACACTGCAGAGAGTGTAAGGAAAGAGAAAGGCAAGGAAAGAGGTGTGGGGGTTGGGTACTCAGGTTAAAGTAAAAGTAGGTACACGCTCCATAGACAGGGCGTGTCTCCGAAGGGGCAGGGGTGAAAAGGGAGGCTGTGAGCCCTTCTTAACAGTGTCCCTGATCCATCACACGACTCCAGGTGTCCTGTCCATGTCATCCCACCAGCCTCTGTCCTGGTGCTCCAGTCCAGGCCCCACTCCTGACTCCAGCTCATTCCTCTCACCACCGCCAAAGGACAACCTATAACCCCATCTGGTCTGAACCTGCCCTGCTCGAAACCCTTCCAACAGTTTCCACCTTCAAAACCAAGTCGAGGTGCCCCAGCTGATGCTCAAGGCTGTGAAGGACCAGGCCTGAGCTACACTCGCCAGCCCCAGCAAACACAGCTCTCCCTCCACAATCAAACTCGCCACAGTCAACCACATCTGCCCCAGACACACGCGTACACAGAGCTGCTTAACAAGTCTGTGCCTTCTCTCGGCCAGTCTGAGTGGCGCCAGCTCCCCCCGACCTGCCAGCCCAAGAAGCCTTCCTTCTCCATTCTACTACAAATACATTTTGCGTTCCAGGTTTGTGTAAGGGTTACACGAGGCAACCACGTGAACGCCCTAAAATACTGACCCACACACCAGCCGGGATGGAAATTAACACTGGAGCTTCACCATTGATAGAGTTAGTTACCAGGAGAGCCCTCCCGCATTACATTTGCTACGTGGGGTAGTCTTCTCAAAATAGAAAAATGTTCGTATTCTCTGCTGCTTAAAATCTTCCCAGTGCTTTAAAGATAAAAGCCAACATTCTTACACGTGCTCGAGGTCCTGTGCAATGAGGCTCCGGCCTTCTGATGGCTGTCAGTCCTGAGCCCAGCTCAGGATCTTTCTGAGCAAGGATGCCTCCGCCAGCACAAGCCCCCAGGCCAACCGCTGTTCACCCTACCGCCAGAAGGGGCCCTCACAACCAGGACCAAGGTTTCACGGCATCTACCTGTTAATGAATCTCACTGTCCTTTGTTTTCTTTTTTCCTTCCAACTTGTAACAGTCTTGAACTGTTTGCCATGCAAATGTTTGTAACTTCTGTTCATGAATCCGGGCCCCATGAGTTCAGGGAAGGAACGTCAGCCCCAACAATGCGCCTCCAGCGGCTGGCCCCATGATCGAACACGGTCATTGCTCAACAAACATTGACTGACTGGACTACTGATGAAAGAAAGGAATCAGGTCTGCACTTACAGAAGTGCAGGAAAGGGAAGTGACTTGCCCAGGTCACACCGCCTACATAGGTGGCAGAGGAAGAACTGGACAGGTACTGGGCCAGCTCCTGGGCCCCGCGTCTCTTCCTGCCCTGCCCTGGGCCGTTAAATCACTCTCTGCGTTTGCGTTTGGCATGAGGTGGAGGCAGGGCAGGCAGGCAGAGTGTGCAGGGATCTAGTGAGCCTCAGATCTGACCCGGAAGGTTCCCGGAGAATGCTGTTCTCAGCACCCCCTTCAGGGAGAGCGCTGTGGGGCTGAGGAGGAACCTGTGACGTGTGACCCGGCCACGCCCTGTGCATCTGTCTGTCCTGCTGGCTCTGTGGACTGTGTATGTCATCTGCACGGCTGGGGACCATGGGCGGTGGCGCCACTTTACCAACAATCACTGCCCTTCTCAGCCTCGGTGAGCTTTGGGGAAGAGAAGAGGGAAGGGGCCTCTCCTTCCCAGGTCTGGGCTCTGAGAGACCGCAGGACTCAGGGGGCTCAGTGGGGACTGCATACGCAGGGGCAGGGGGAGGTGGGCTCAGCCCCAGATCTGACCCCAGCACTCAGGGTCCAGACCAGGCCTGGGGCGTCTGCATGTGGTGGGGCATGGACGCTCACAGGGATCTCTCTTCCAGGGCTGTATTGGGAACTGTGGGGTCACGTACAGGCAGGTGAGTCCCCCCTAGTCCTTCTGCTTCGACCCAACAGCCCCCCTGGTCATCTGCGGGAGCACAGTGGGTCTGGGCTGATGTAGCCAGTCTGGGAGGGGTGTTGAAGGAACATCTGGGGACACTGAGGGCAGAAGGCCACTCCTGACACTTCAGGTCTGATTCCTTTCCAGGTGTCCTCCCCAAACCCTCCATCTGGGCTGACCCAGGCCCCACGGTCACCAAGGGGAGCCCTGTGACCATCTGGTGTAAGGGGTCTCAGTGGGCTGATGTCTACAGTCTGTATAAAAGGGGTGCCTCTAGACTCCGGGAGACTAAGACCCCACAGGACTCCAGCAACACGGCCAGTTTCTTCTTTAAACGCTCGAGCTCAGACACGGCAGGGCTGTATCAGTGTGCATATCGCAGGGGGACCCGCTGGTCAGAGTGGAGCGACCCCCTGCCCCTGGCGGTGACAGGTAACAGGGAGGGGCCGGGGCCCTCCCACTGTGGGCTCCTCCTCACAGGCAGAGGGGGCAGAGTGCGGGCTCAGGGGGACCTCTCCCCGCACAGTCCCCCTTTAACACAGCCCCCTCCTCCCCCCTCAGGGGCACGGAGCACCTCCCTCTCAGCCCACCCAAGCCCTGCGGTGGCGTCAGGAGGGAGCGTGCCCCTCTGCTGTGGCTCAAGTTTGCCCGGGGCACTCGGCACCTGCTGATGGAGGGAGGCCCCGCCCCGCCCCACACAGGACACCCAGGCACTGTGGGAACTACGGGACAGGCCTCTCTCCTGGGGGCCCCCTGCACACCTTCCCTGGGGGGACCCACAATGCTATGATTCTCCCAACTCCCTTTCCTATGTGAGCCGTGGGGGTGATGGAGGGCCCATGACACTGGCCTCCTGGGGCAGAACCACTGGCAGGAGGCTTGGGGATGACCAGATAGGACTCTCATGCAGCCCCAGTGAGCAATGTGGGGTGTGTGTCCCTTCAGTGCCACCGTCCCCGTCTCTCCAGGCATGTACAGGGAGCCCTCCCTCTTGGCCCGGCTGGGCTCACTGGTGCTCTGGGGAGAGAACCTGGCCCTCCAGTGTCACTCAGAGGCCAGCTTTGACAGATTCGCTCTGACCAAGGACAAGGGGCTCATAACTCCCCTCCGTCTTGAGGGGCAGCGCAGCCCTGACTTCCCCCTGGGTCGTGTGAATCACAGCCATGGAGGTTCGTACAGATGCTACAGTGGACGTTACCATTCCTACACATGGTCGGCCCCCAGCACCCCCCTGGACATCCTGATCACAGGTGAGGAGCCCCTGTCCTGCCTCATGTCTTCATTATCTGCTCAGGGTGCTGGGCCCGGGGTCACCCTGGTGGTGAAGGGGTCCAGGGAGAAAGGCCTGAAGGAAAGGCTGAGGTAGGGCAGTGGTTTAGGGGGCGGAGAGAGAAAGGGGGAGTGGGGGCCTGAAGGTAAAAGAGACCACACAGAGGGGCTGAGAGGAGCTGAGAGAGGGTCACAGACAGGGTCCCTGGGGAGAGGACAGTGGTCCCTCAGCTCCGGGTCAAGCATGCATGGGGAGTGGGCGGCTCTCCACACATCACCCCTTCCTCTCCCCAGGAATGTACAAGAAACCCTCCCTCTCAGCCCATCCAGGGGCCTCGGTGCCCTGGGGAGGGAACGTGACCCTGCAGTGCGGCTCTGAGACCTGGTCGGATACCTTCCTTCTGTTCCGGGAGGGGTCACTGTCTCCTCCCCAGCACCTTCGTCTGCAGGACACAGCTGCACCCTTTCAGGTCAACTTCACCTTGAGTCCTGTGACCTCAGCCAACAATGGGACCTACAGGTGCTACAGCTCACACAGCACCTCCCCCTACCTGCTGTCACAGCCCAGCGACCCCCTGGAACTCTTGATCTCAGGTGAGGAGCCCCAGTCTTGGCCCTATGTGTCCTCCTGGTCAGTCTAGGGTCCTGTCCCCACAGGAGCTCTGGGCTGGGATGGGAGTGAGGGGGCCACTGAAGGAGAGAATCCATTCTCAGAGAGAAGGAAAAAGCCAGAGCAGCTTCCTTCCCTGCACCATCCTCATCCCTCATCCCGATATGTTCCGGGTGGTGGAGGAAGGCTAGAGAGGGCTCAGGGCTGACCAGAAGGAGAAAGCAGGGGTGGGGGTGGGGGGAAACCACAGGGCTCTGAGGCCAGATGGATGGAGGGTGGGGAGTCATGGAAAGGGAGTGTTGGGTCCAGCCTGGGGGAGGAGCAGTGGGCTGACATGGGGAGAGGCAGCCCCAACCCCTCATCCCTGTCCTGACCCCCAGGAGGCTCTGAGGACCGGCTCCCCCCAACTGCAGAGTCAGGCCCACAGAGAGGTAAGTGAGGGTCTCTTTGTAGGGAGGAGCTCAGTTCTGGTCTTGGCACCGCCTGAGATAATGGCCCGAGAAAGGTTCCTTCTCACTGGGACCAACTTTTCCGATTGCAAACGGCACCAAAGCTGCTTCGACATTGTGTGTGTGGGGACACCGGCGGTGTCTGACTCTCCTCCATAAACTCAGGGGCACTCAGCCCTCCAAGGAGCAGCTGTGGGGCTGGGGAGAGGACAGGACAAGCAAGTCACCCTGCCCGCTGCTCCCAACTGCGGGACCTGGGACAAGTGCTCCTCGCAGAGTCCACG